TTTTTTTTTTTTTTTTTTTTTTTTTTTTTTTCTTTTTCTTACTTTTGCTGTTCATTTTGAATTTGAAAATAGTAGTAAGTAGAATAGATGTGGAATAAAAATTTTACTCAGTTCTTTTGAGTTCAGTTTATTCAATTTTATCTTGCACTAGTTGATCCTTTTTAGGGGAGGGGAGGGAAGGAAAACAATTGTGACTCGTCAGCGCACTGAAACTTCAAGAATTTTTCAATTTCATTTTATTAATTTATATTTTTATAAATAGTTTTAAAACCAACATTCAAAAATAGTCACTCCTAAGCTTAATAGTGTAACATCTTAAGTTCTTGACCTTCAAGCAGAAAAACRAAAGAACAATTCATTATTTAAAAAATGACTTGAAAAGTTGAAAGACCGCGTATGAAATTCCTAGTTAGAACACCTTCAAACAAGGTAGATATAAACTTTTTTGACCGTAATCTTCCCTCTTTATGAAAAATTCCTGAAGTTTCACAGTGCGTAGACGATCTTCCACTATTAAGCTTAGGAGTGACTCTTTTTGAAAGTAGCTTTTAAAAGAAGTTATATGACGTTTGAATCGCTTGAAATCAAAAAGCGCTTTTATGGTCTTTTTTCCCCTCTCGTCCAAGCTCAGTTAACCGACAGGATTCGTAGAATTTATCACTTATTTTATTTCATATTTGGTTAGTTTTTAATTTTATATACTGAATTTCTTTCGACTCCAAGGAATAGTTAGTGAATTATTTTCGAAATCAATAATCAAATGGAAAACCCGATAACTGGTACTTGCCCAGTTATATCTCTCAGGTATTTCCGTAATGGGCTACTAATATTGTGTCTCAGTGTTTCGATAGCAAAGTTTTTTTCCCCTACAGACACACTTATATCAGTAACTCTGGCGGGCACTATTACAAGGAATTAGAAAATCAGGATGTCCAGATTAGGAAAACGATGACAAAAACGCATAAGTGTGATCCTTTATCGCTATTTCTTTAAGCAGCTTGTAAAAACAGGTCTTTAAAAATCACAACAATTGACCACCATGTTGCTTTAACCAGGGTTAATACAAAAGACTATTGAAATGAATGGAGGATTTACCGGGAAAGCACCAAAAACCTTGAATTATTGATAACCATGGACGTATAAAGAACGGCCAGGCTGGTCATTGTGTTAGTCCAGTGTTCACTTTACAAGACACATCGACGTTACGGTAAGCTGCTCTCAACGTTATGTTCACTGAACCTTGTGACTCTTATCAATGAAACTGGATATCAGCTTCACAAGCTACAAGCTCATTRCTTCTTTTTGCTATCTCTATAGGTGAACCATGGAGTCTAGGACTGTGTTTGTAACGGCGGTTGTAGCACTCTTTTTAGCTGTAACTTTGGTTTATTCGTTTCCTGACAAATCGTTGAAAACAAGAGAGAAATATCAAGGTTTGTTGCATTCTTATTTCCGGCCATTTCAATTTGTATTTTCTACGCTAAAGAGCTAGATATATATATAGTTCATAAACTGAATTATTTTAAGATATTTTGTAAGAAAAATTTTAAGGAATTTGGAGCAAAATGTAGAACAAAAGTTTTCTTTTGTTCTACATTTTCGCCGCTCGCTTTTCGATAAAATTTACGCAAATCTCCAAAACTTTTCAAAACCGTATTCAATCAGTGAAAAGCAACGTTCATCGAAAAACTACTTTCATAAATGAAAACTACACAACTCAATACTTTAAACATCATTCATCCTTTTCAAATAATAGCATTTTTGTAAATAGAAATTTCGAGAGAAAAAAACTACGTACAAGCAAACACCCCTCACGTTCTTTGCATATATAATGAGCCTGTGTAACCTAGCTTTCCGGGTGGGTCATTGTCTCTAACGTGAAGTAAAAACTTTGCAATATTAATTGACGAATTTCTTTGTACTTCGAAAAGTTTGTTTACATTTGAGAAGTCATGTTTTTTTTTGGTAAATGCGACGTGGAAGAATAAGAAAGTAGTTCTTCATTAAACAATTCGGATAGAATGTTTCGAAAAGGATATTTCGATTTTACGAACTAAATTCTTAGAATTAAGAAACTACCTATTTGTTGACTAAGACTTGATTTTGCATTTTTGTTAATTTTAAACGTTAAAGAGCAGAATAAACTAAAGACATGGTAAACTTTGCTTTTTTTGCATGAATTTGGAACTGGCGATCAAAGTAGCTGGCTCAAACGTTTTATATTATTAATGACAACTGCTTTTCTTAATAGATTTTCAATATATTTTAATGATTAATTTGGTAAAATACTTGCCGAACGAAAAATCAAGTTTTACCAGTTTAACTGAAGAAGAAAAAATACTAATAGTAGTGAGTTTAGTAAAGATCTGTGTTCGTAAACGAAAGATGGATCCAAAATGCATGAATATATTTTCTATAACAAACCAGCCTTCTATAACAAAACCGTTGATCGACACAAAAWAAAGTTTAGTGGACGGATAATAGAGGTGAGGTGGTCGCCTTTGAGAGGTGATCACTCCGAGAAGCCGTTCGACGATGATCTCATATAGGCTAGTTTTCGACGAAACTTTTGGTCTTCAACGTTGAGGAATGCCATTTGGAACTTACGAGCAGGAAGATCGACCGTAGGTAATTATGGAAAATTTCTTCTTTTTGCAAACTAAATTGAAACCACTTAACTATTGATTGGACAAAGGTTTTTAAAAACTATCTGTTCATTAAAATGAATTTTGTGTCACTGAGTTTTGGAATCTATAGGAACGAGTTCAATTGTAGGTTTAATGCATGTGTCTGTATTGTTGCTAATATATTTGTATACTAACCCAGTAATCGCATTTAACATTTTTCTCATAATTAATTTATATCTCCATTGAAATGATAAATTGTAATTTTTTCAAACAAGTTGTCGTGTTGATAAATTATAGATTTAGTTTTTTTACATTAAAAAATAAGTTAGTAATAATTAATGAAGATAAATTAAAAACTTTTCTAGATCTTGATTCGATGATGCATTTAACCTCGCTTTCTGATCCTTTTGATGGTTTGCAACCATTCCCAAGAGAATTAAACAACAAAAGACACGGCGGCCATGCTGGAGGATCAATAACAAAAGAATTTATTGACAATTSTTTTGTTAAGTTCCTCCAACATGGCCGCCGTGAAAACCATCAATTTATTTTAACAATAAATAACTAAACTAAAAAAGTTTGAATTAAAATTGAATATTAATGCTATAAATTTAAATGATATAAATATACATTTAATAAATTTGTAACTTATAAATTAGATTAATTTTAGGTTAAAAGTGGCGGGGAGGGATTAACAGCTCGATTGCAGGATGAACTAATAAGTTTCGTGTCATGTAAAGGCCTGGTTGCCTTTCAAGACGGCGTAAATAAGAAAATGTAACCGGCTTTCGTATAGACATCTTGCATTGATTTCCTAGAGGAATTGTTCTGGGGGACAAAATAATGGGCTGTCTTTTCTTATGCAAAAAGATTCATTGCCTTGTACCCCAGAACAAATCATCTGGGGACTGAGTTCAAGGGGTATATTGAAACTGAAATATGTTGTTTTAAGATTTTATGTTTTTCTTRTCAATGTTTTGATGATTATTGAATTCTTATATTATTTAGGGTTTGTTCAAAGGAATGTCAGCTTGCTTGTATGAAGAAATATCTTACTTTCAATGATGTTATTTTATTATTTTATCGATAAAAAGCGCTGTTTTAACTTGGGAAATGAGAGATTCAAACTCAAATTATGTAAGAATATGAAGAATATTACGTCATAGTTATTACTATTTATTAGTTATTATTGGAGAATTAATAGGTATTAATTTATTTCAGCTTTGTTAAAGAGAAGCGCGAATCCATGTCCACCTGGTTGCCCGGGCTCATGTGCGCCTGCTTGTACAGCGGTCTGTTGTGCACCACCACCACCCCCACCGCTACCACCATTACCGCCACCACTTCCACCACCACCCCCTCCCCCACCAGGACCACCTGGACCAGACGGACCAATGGGAATGCCTGGACCTCAAGGACCCGATGGACCTAAGGGACCACCAGGACCACCAGGACTTCCAGGACCACCGGGTATACCCGGATACCCAGGAGCCCCTGCCGGACCCCCTGGACGAGATGGCCCTATGGGACCTCCTGGACCGTCTGGTAACCAAGGACCTCCCGGAGACATGGGTTCTATGGGACCAAGTGGTTTATTCGGGGGTGTAGGACAACATYTAGGATAAACAGGGAACTTATCGAGTAGGTGCTGTGAGAGACTTGGGACACTATCAACATGGTACAAGAGAAGTCACGGAATGAATGTGTATATAAACCTTGAAGTACACTGAAATCTCTCGTTTGAGGTTTTTGCTTGAATCACAACTTGAATCACAATCTTTCATACGAATATAGACGAATGTCTCAAATTTCTTAATGAATATTATACGAAATATGAAGTAGTTACTACAATGAATAATATGTTATAATACAGAGTTTATTAGAGCAGAGATTAGAAGTATTTAGCTCATTTTTTATTGTGAGAATTCACACAAAACCAACTTTTATAAGTTTTGATGAGAATTCAAGAAAACAGTTTAGTAGAAAAAAACTAGTACAAAATATACACGTTGTGCATTAGAAGATACAAAATTCTTTCTCCGGTTTTAATAGAATTAAATTGAATGTAACGCAACTGTTATTCAGTAACAAGTGAAGATATTTTTAAATAAAATTCCTTTAGAAAATTCGTGTGTGGTTTCTCTTGACAAAATCCCCTATTGCTCCGAGCGAATATCGATTTGAATTGCCGGAAACGCGCGCTGCGCATTATTACAAAATGGCGGGAAAATGGCTGTTTTTTGTCAACAGCGGCAGATTTTCAAAATTTTCCAAAAAATAAGAAAATAACTTAACAAAACTTCCAATAAAACGATTTCTTGCATTGTAATATTTCTGATGATTAATATTTTTGAAGTATATTCAGTGTTTGTTTAGTTCTGTTTGGATAACTTTTGGGGAGTTTTTAGAATTCAGAAAGATCGAAATATCTTTGATTTCGGGAACAAGTACGYGCCGAAAATAATCTATATAACAAATATTACAGACTTTTTTTTTTATCTTAAAAAATATCTTAAAGATAATAAACATGCTACATGTATATATAAATACAAAATATATATTGATACTTTGCTCTAAAATTTAAAAATGATTTTTTACGTTTATTTGTTTATTGTTTATTTTATCACAGAGAGAGAAACAAGATATGTCCCCGTAGGTGAACCATCTATTTCTAACTACTACGCCGATCTACCCTACGATCCCCGACAGCCCCCAGGCCCACCAGGACCTGACGGGCCTCCAGGACTACCCGGCCCACRAGGACCAAAGGGACCTCCAGGACCACCAGGAGCACCGGGAAACATAGGCGCTTGGGGATGGAAAGGATATCCAGGGAATCCAGCGGGACCTCCGGGAGCTCCAGGGCCTCCAGGACCCCCGGGACCTCAAGGACATAAGGGCCCTCAGGGAGTTCAGGGCTCCGCTGGTGGTGCGGGAGGCGCTGGCAGAAGACGATGATCATGATGCACTTATTCATAACTATTCAATATTTTGATAAAAGTTAAAAAAAAGAAAACATTTCTGTACTATCTTTTGCAATTTTTTAGATATCTGGTTGAAAGAATGTTAAGCTAAAAAATTTTGGCGCCCTTTTTTAAAGTTTTGTTATATTGTTCATTTTGCTCAATAAAATTTTGCTCAATAAAACAGACAAACGAAACCTTTTAATTAAAGCCTGAAACAATTAACCTCTGGCCACTGAACTAAGTCAGGGCATGGCTAACTCATAGATCAAACCTTGAAACAACCTCTCTGGGCTGATCCAAGTCAGGGCATGGCTAACTCACAGACCAAACCCTGAAACAAGAAGTTAAGGGCGGATCCAGGGTTTTTTTGAAGGGGGGGTCTCACGGGTAAATTTTGTGGGCAAAGGAATCCCAGTCGCATTTTTACCATAGGAAGACCATTTGACCTCAGGAATGACAGGGGGGTCGCGACCCCCCCGACCCTCCCCCTGGATCCGCCCTTGAACAACCTCTGGGCTGATCAAAGTCAGGGCATGGCTACCTCACAGATGAAACCCTGAATCAACCTCTGGGCTGATCCAAGTCAGGGCATGGYTAACTCACAGATTGAACCCTGAATCAATTCAACCTCYGGGCTGATCAAAGTCAGGGCATGGCTAACTCACAGATCAAACCCTGAAACAACCTCTGGGCTGATCTAAGTCAGGGCATAGCTAACTTACAGATCAAACCCTGAAACAACCCCTGGTCTGATCTAAGTCAGGGCTGGCATGGCTAACTCGAATTGGAATTTAGCTTGTTAGCTTCTGAGAAGGAAGGAACTATTAAATAATATCGGGACCAGAAATGCTACGAATTAGCCACATCGAAGAATTCATGGAGGGAATAATACAAGGGAATCCCGCGGGACCTCCAGGACATCAAGAGGGTACAGAGGACTCTGGTGGTATTATAAAATTGATTATTAGAATTATTATTACTATCGTTGCACGTTTTTACTGAAATGAACTCAAAGRTAAGTATACCAAAATCATAATTTATACAATAACTGCTATAAATATCGCGTTCTGATTGGTTGGGAGCGCGTGCTTTATGAGAGCACCCAGCACGCGCGTCATTCCTAGCCGAAAGAACGGTTATTGTAATTTATATTTTATAAAAGAAATAAAAAACTTGCTTGATTTGCTGTGTGCAGTTGTAAAGCACTTGGAGATTGTCAGAACACTCGAGAAGTGTTGAGAAGCACTCCGCTACGCGTCATGCTTCTCCTAACACTTCTCTTGTGTTCTGCCARCCCCCGCGTGCTATATAACTGCACACAGCACGCGCGCGCGTTTTATATTTCTTCAGTATTAATCAAACCATTTATTAAAAATTATTAAAATTTAGAAAACTTTTGGTATCGTTATTGTTTTCAAATAAATTCAATCACCTCTTTCGTGATTATTACATTTTTAGCTATAAAAAAAACTAGTTTTCAACAACGCAAGACCAGGGGTGCTTACCATTTACCCGGAAATTCCGGTTAGAAAACAAATGGTATGCATCATTCCAAAATAATCACTGAGCCTGAGGGGAATAATTGTTTTAGCATAATTTTAGACTTGAATATCAGAGAAAAGACGAAATTCAGGATAAAAAAAAGTTTTAGTATTACTTCCGATCTGGCTACCTTGGAAAACCTCATAATTACCGCTCGAACAGTGATTATCGTCTTAGAATCACTGATCGCTCGACCAATCACAGCTCGAGAAACTCTATATTAAAGTTTAAAATTGTACTAATATTTATTACTACTTATTATCGAACATATAGAATAAGTACGCATGCAAATATAATACCGATGATCTTGGTAGTGGTATTGGTACTAACAGGGATGATGATGTTAAATAGTAAATAAATAAATACAAAGTTTCGAAGTGGCCCTCAAATTTATGATTAATTTGGAAGTTTATTTTTCTGGTCTTAATGATGGTAATGATGGTGATGATGATGACGATGATATGATGGTTGTGATGTTCATGATGTTCATGATGGTGATGATGGTAATGATGCGTGATGATGATGATGATGATATGATGGTTGTGATGTTCATAATGTTCATGATGTGATGATGGTGATGATAATGGTGATGATGTTGGTAATGGTGATGATGGTAATGATGCGTGATGATGATGGTAATGATGCGTGATGATGATGGTTATGATGCGTGATGATGGTGATATGATGGTGGTGATGGCGATGATTGTAAAATAATTGTACGTGTGATGACGATGATGATGTGAACGTGATGTCATGTGATGATAGTAGTATGATGGTAACGATCATAATAATAACATTTGTAAAAACAACAGACAATTACAAGCACTATAAAATGTTGATATTGACTTTCATATGAAATACAAAAATTTCTAATTCTTTTTAAAATGTTGGTTTTCCTTTCCCGACCCTACTAGCCTCGCTTTGATGATAGCTAAATAACTGCCCCTATTCATTCATCCACCACAGGAACACTTATGCGGTGCCATGCATTAGACAACACACCTCGTAGATTCCAGATCGGTGCAACCGAGTCTGGTTGCACATTATACGAACTATCCACAGCCTTACATATAATATCTAATTTATCAACCCCTTGGGGTATAGGAAGGGTTGCCTYCCACAAGGACCACGCCCATGCACGCCCATAGGGTTGTTTTTTCCCATCGAGGGTCGCAGTGGTCCAGTTCTTTCCTCCATCGAGAGATAAGTCGACGCGGACAATCGGGCGCCCACCTCCGCTCCATGCGTATCCTTTGACTGTGATTTCTTCTTCATCGCGTGACACCTGGGCACCTGGTGTTGGGTGACAAATACCTGACGTCACGGGCTGTTCCTGGATGGCTGGTGATGTTCCAAAATCAACACAATCCCAGTCTACGGAAGGACAGAATCCCTTATAGTCATTCTGCTGCCAGTGACTTGAGCTCTCGTTTTTACTAGCTTCTACTTTAGCCAACCATTTGACGTTCCTGGCTCCCACGATACCCGGGACGACGGCACGCACAGGGAATCCATGATCTAGAGGAATATCCTTCCCATTCATCTCGTAGGCTAACAAGACATCACCTTGAGGAGATACAGCCTTTTGAATCGGGATTGAAGAACCATATGTAGTTCCAGTGATATCTTTATCATAGCCTTCAAATACAATATGCTCTATTCCATACTTTTCTACATGTTCCTGGTCGAACCCTGCGTACTCTAGTACATCTTTAAGTAACGCGCCACTCCACTGTGCCGTAGAGATCGCTCCTTGGCCCCAATTTAACCCTTTGACCTGTTTTATTTGGTTCATCTCGCTGCGTCTGTTGCCTGCGCATTGCATGGTYGCAGTGATGGTATGCTTCTTGAACTTGGTCTTCAAGTCTTTCAAAAACAAGCTCACTTTCTTCATATCTTCACCCGACAACTCTAGCTTATAATCCTTCTCATTTAGATGTGGAACGGGGAGGTGATTACGCACAAAGAATATATCAGTAGGGGTTATGTAGTTTTCCCCGAGAAGCTCCAGGGGGGGTTCAGCATTGAATGGTTTCGCAGAGTTTACCTTAAGTGCAGGATGCCGCTCTGGTTCATCTTTGAATGGGTCATTAGAATCAACTACCTTAGCCTTGTCTTCAGGAGCAAGACTCCCTATGCGGTACTCCTCAAGTATCGCCCTCACTTCTTCTTTCTTATGAACAGGATACATGGACCAGAAGGGCTCCAAGTCTTTACCAGCTGCTAGTATTATCTTGCTGGACCCCCCTGGATGATTGTCGATGAATTCTGTGATGTCATAAACAGCCCCGTCATAGGCGATCCAGATCCCAGTCTTTCGGTTGTCATGCTTTGCAACTTCTTCACGGGAAATGAAGCCAGTTTCCTCAATTTTGCTCTTTGATTCTTTGGCTTGTTTGGCATGAGACCCCTGAAAAACACCATTTAATAAGTCTGGTGGCATAGCRGTCAGAGTGCTCGCCTCTCACCAAGGAGAACCAGGTTTAAGTCCTACAATCAAGTACATATATCTGTGTGTATGTATGCAGAAGCAAAGAAAAGAGATGTAATTCCCACCCACCACACCCTAACAGCCATTAACCATTCATTTTGGTTTCTGTATATGAAAGCGGCACCGCACAAAGCATTAGTGCATATACCAAAGATATCTGGGTGTAAACAGAAGCAAAGGAAAGAGATGTAGTCCCCCACCCACCCCACCCTAACMGCTGTTAACCTTACATTTTGTTTCCTGTATATGAGAGCAGCGCCGCACAAAGCACCAGTGCATATACCAAGGATAAGGTAGCCCTGACTATTGCCTTGATTGGCAGTAGAGGTTCCACTGACAGACCTTTTAGGGATTTTTGTTGAGGTTACTCTTCCAGATAAAGCTGCCCTATAAAAAGTGAATGAGTGAAGAGTAAATCGTATATACTTATTTCAATAAAGTTAGTCACCAAAAACCTAGAAAGCTGTGATCCCTGAGAATCATGGGAAATGTTTTATATTCAACAAGTAAAGCTTTTGACACAAACTGTAGCAGTTGAGGATGCTCAGAGGAGGTTAACTTGTAACTGGTAGAAGATCTCAAGTCCATCAACAGTGATCAAGCAGTTGAAACGTGTAAAATGTATCTATCCATAATCCTTGCCGGTCACATCTTTGTAGCCTTTTAGGTGACTAACTTTATTGAAATAAGTGTATGCTAGTAATGACATATTGCAATTGGTTGAATTTTAAGCTGCATCACAAAGTTATGGATTCCGTGATTATCCCCACTATCACATGTAAGTAGATGGACCTGGTTGTTGGTTCTTTCCTTTGCCTTAAGGGTTTCTCTCTGGATTTCTCTCCAGTTTTTCTCAATCCCCCCACATTATATCAAATGTTCCAATTTGATCATGGAACAATTAAGGTCTATAGAAATATTAACTAAGCTATTTTCTGTTGCTTCCATAACACAAGTGCTATTTATTTCAATTAATAAATGAAAGAATATTCTATAAACATTGAGTCCAGGGCACGTAACCACAAGACGTTTTCAAATTGAGTGAACAAGGAAGGACAGTTGCTAATGGCATATATCAAGTGAAGTCTTATAGACTGTGCATTTCATAGACATGGCAACCACACATTGGTTGACGTAAAAAAAGAAATAATTTGTCAACATGGTGGCTTTTGTTGAATAGAACTAAGTCAAATAGTAATGTGATTATATAACAAGGCAGTATAAAAAATGTCAAGATTTAAGTAAGTRTTTTACCTCCTGAATCCACCTCCCCCGGTCCTGAGAATGCCTCTAGCTGCTTGTCTAAACATGTTCTACAAAACTTCAAATGTTTTACAATAATTAACTCAATACATGTATGGATCATGGAGTAGCAAAAATCCTCAACATCACAGCCGCCACTCTCATCACCACCAACACCACTACCATCATCATCATCATTATCACAAACATCACCATTATCATTGCCCCCACCTTCACCTTCACCATCATCATCATCACCACCAACACCACTATCATCATCACCACCACCTTCACCTTCATCATCATCATCATCACCAACACCATTATCATCATCATCATCGCCACAAACACCACCATTATCATTACCACCACCTTCACCTTCATCATCATCATC